GGTTTGGTTGATTTTGGTACTGTAGCTGATTGTAATCCGGTTAAACAAAAACGAAAAGAAGAATAATTTGTATTTTTTTTAATTTATTGATCAATGTAATATTGCACTGTAACACCAGATTATTCTTACAAATTTGTAAAGATAGATAATTGTGGCACAAAATTCTTGATTTGAATTTTTTATTTTGAATTTATGATGATAATAATTCATACTTTATCCAATTTGAACCACAATTTGTTTAATTTAGTAGTGTAGCTTACTGTAATTTGGTTAACTAAATGCAAGAATCATTTGTCATTTTATTTTTATTTCTATATTACTAGGTGTTTAGCCCGCGCCTTGTACGGATGAAAATATTTCATAACTTAAATAAAACTTTATAACATAGTTTGAAAAGAATTAGAACAACTATTTGAAACAAACAAAAATAGAGCTAACCCAAAAAATTAAATCTTGTCCAAAATTAGACTTTTAAAAAAATATTATATAAGTATATAAAACCCACAAACTAACTAAAATAAGACAAACTCGAATTATTATTCTTCTTTTTTTTTTCACATCTTCTTTCTCTTTTCCACATACTGTATTTCTTTCTTCTTCCTCTTATACATTTTCGATCTTCTTCTTCATCATATTTTTCTTCAAATTTTTTTCTTTACCATCTTCATCTTCTTAGACTTCTTATTTATTTTATATTATTTGTCTTTTTAATCATCTTTATCTTTTTTCTACTTTGTTTTCTTCATCTTCTAGTTTTTTTCTTCCATTTTATCTACTATGTAATAGTTTTCTACTTTAACATCTCTTTCTCATTACTTTTTTCTTCTCCAAATTCGTCATTTTTGTACTCTGATTTATCCAACTATATTTTTATCCGACTTGTTCACCGTATTCCTCTATGTTCATTTTGTGATCTTTTAATCAATTTTGTGTTCTTCTCCCCTATATTTATCATTTAGCTTATCATATTCTTTGTCTTCTTTCATTTTATCCTCCATCATTTTTGACTCCTACTTCTTCTTCTTCTTCTTTATTGTATATGTTTTCTTTGACTTCTTGAATTTTTTTTTCATTCGTTTTTTCTTCATTTTCATTTTATTTATTCTCTTGTTTTATTCTTTTGATTTTTCATCTACTTCGTATTCTTCATTTTCTTCTATCATCTTTATATTTTCTAACTTCTTATTCTTCCACATCTTTTACTTATTCTTTGTGTATCTTCTTCTTATTTTTCTTTGTATTTTGGTTTTTCTTCTTGCTTGTATTTTCCATCTTTTTTTTTGAATTTTGGATGTTACCAGATGTATATTTTCTTATAGAAGAGTGCATCACCATCTTCAAGAGTTGAAGATCCATTGTTTTTTCTTCCAGTTTTTCTTCTTTTTTTTTTTTGCTAAGCATTCCAGTTTTTCTTTTGTTTTCTTTATTTTCTTCTTCTTTATCTTTCACTATTTCATCATCACAAAGAGTATTGCGATCAAGCAAGATTTCTGCTTCAAATTCCAAATCATCTTGAAAACCCATTTTCAAATCAGAAAGTCAATTAGGAATTTAAAGAGTAAAAGAGAATAAAAATTTGGAATCATTCCTTCAGATTACTTAAATATAATCCAACTGAAGTTTACCTTTAAAATAAATAAATAATGTGGAAAGACATGCTTCTTTTTATTTAAAGCAAATTAGTTCAAGTTAGATATAATTTTAATTTAGTCTGTACCTTTTACTATACTAATAAATGAATAGACAAACTCTCTTCTATGAAATTCACTCGACCATAGTAATATGTCACGACTAAAGCTTTGATTGGTAATCTTGATAAATGGTAGAATGGTGGAAATATTTTTTTGGAATAGATTAATCTATTTATAAATCAATTTTTTGTGGAATTATTTGTTCTTTGTATTTTTTAAGCGAAAACATAATTTGCGTTTTTGTGTATATTTTATAATTTCGTAAATTTTTGTTAGTTGACAAAAAAACCTGCAGAATTGCATTTATAAACAAAATTCACCATTCCACAGGTTACCAATCAGAACCTAAATCGAACTGAGGAAGCCTACTTATAGGGAACACTCAACTGGAGCAGTTATCTAGAATCTATATACATTAAGATAGAGAACAATTTTATGTTCTCTTTGCTCTGTGTTTCCTTTTTATAATATTTGGAACATGCATACATAAAAGCAAATCATCTAACTACTTTCTAAATTAGTAGGTTCAAAGATGCACAGAACACACTTCCATACATACGAAGGAACATAGAACCATCCTCCTCCACTTCAGTCACTCCCTGGTTCCTCTTCGTTATGAGCCATTAAAATGATCAAGAACACTACGAAAACTCAAGACTCAAAAACTACAACAACAAATTCACCAATTTACCACATTTTACTTCCAATTATATCCCACCATCACCGCACCAAAACACTTCTTCTTGATTGCCTTTTTATGTTAAAGTCCAACAAATTCTAAAAATTCTTTCAAAGATTCCCATACATAATATTAAAGTTTTACTCTGCAAAATCATCATCAAAATCTTATGATCTCTAACACATTAAAAATGGAATGTGTACGTTCATTCTTCTATTCACAAGAATTTTAGTTAAATATTTCTTAGATTCGGGTCTCATAGAGTAGTAAGTTTCTTCAGTTCTCCAGTCCAGCCTGAAACACTTTATAGATGCAGTTCCAGCAAACTGAAACAAATTACATAGATGATGCAAATTACGACACAAATATTTCTCGTGCAAAAATTCTTCTTCCTCTTTATTTGTGACTCTCCTTGTTTCAGCTCATCAGCTGGTGTTATCTCTCCTTTTATGGTCTACGAACTTCCCAACTGTGGTAACAACGATACACACAAGAATTAAAATATCAGTGCTCAGTAAACCAACCAACCCAAAAAAGAAAGAGACGGTTAACATATTTATCATCACAAAATAAAACAAAATACAAGCAAATAGATCATATACAAAAATAATCAAATGTTACATTCTAAATATAATAATCATATACTGTCGTCGAACAAATTTAACTACAAGAAAATTTAGGCTAGTGTTTTTTCAGTAAGACCGGAGACTTTTACAACACATCAACAAACAAATACACTTGCTTATGTCATTCTCTAATAAATATTGAAACAGAGGGAGATTGTATGGCTCCACAAGGTTGGTTCCTTTCTTCAGTTATAAGATGACTTTGTCTTGAACACTGATGTTGAGTGTCTTGTTTGGAAGAACAATACTGGTAATCACCACAACCTCGTCTTCAACTACAACAGAGTCTCTTGAAACACATATGTTTCAGGTTAGTTTCTATTTATAAGGAGATTTTACTGTCTGTGTGTAAAGATAAGGAGTGACATAAAGGGAGTGAGGATAAAAACAATTTACAGATAATTGTAACTCCAAGTTTGGAGTTGTAGACACCCTCATCCTGTGATTGACAAAGTGAAACTTCAGGTTCATGATTGTAAACACCAAACAGAAACATTTCAAAGTCCACAACTGAATGACTCTTCAGTTAATTGTGTTAGTCACCACTTCAGTTTGTGGGCAAACAATCATTGAAGAGTCGACCTCGAGAAAACTTTGCTCGTTTTCAATGATCCATGAAGATTATTAGCAAGAACCAACCAAATTTTATATTCATTATAAGCAAACACAACGTAAACGTGAATGGTTGTGGTATAGCCAAATCAAAATAAAGAAAATTTGAAAAGTATAAACACAACTACACTAAACATCAGACAATAACAACACACAAGACGACCATTCTATTAATACAATTTGTTTGTTCGCGGTTTGATCAGCATTTAACAATCGTATTTCAATGTGTTGGATCGATTAAGTTTGGTTAGATAGCAGTATTTGTTATAACCACAAGACGGTAGCTTGTTTTAAATTGAAGAAAAGAAAATAAATAATTTATTCCATGAGAGCAATGAACAAAAACGTACATATATAACATATATCGGTTAATAATGTAAATCAGTAAATCGATACATAAGATTTATGCAAATCGGGTAAAACATATATTTTCATTAAAAAAAAAATATCTAAGATTTACTTAAAGAAAAAAAACAAATGCAATCTAAGGAAATCAATATAAATATAATTAATTAATTTAGTTATTTTTAATCAATTTTAAAGAGGAGCAAATGGTAATTAACCACCTTGAAATTGAAGGAGAGACTTCTAAACTAAAATTTTACTTCGCTTATAATATATATGATAAGAAGGTTATAGGCCAAACTTTCACTGATAATCTTTTCCGACCAGAAACCGGAATGAATTAATTAGTCTAGTCCTTCTATATCATGATTTGGATTTGTGATTTTGAAGTGCATTCAATTTTTCTAGATCAAATGTTAATTGGTTAATGATTTGATAATTTGGCTAATGATTTGATAAATGAATCATTTTGTGGTTCAATAATAATAATAGTAATTTGGTTTTAGCTTTGTTAATTTACTAATTTTCTAGTCAACCATTAATGTGTGCATTGTTCACTGTAATAAAAACATATTTCTATCAATATATAGTTAAAAATATCAAAATGCATTTTGATCATTCATTATTGGTATGGTGCACCTAACCATATGGTCCATATCTGTAGCAAATATTGTTCTTTACAAAAGTATATTAGAATACGATGTATCTTAAGGTTTTGAAGAAAACAATGTGTATATTAAGGAATTAATTCCATTTTAAAGGAATACTATACAATGCATTCAACAAAAATTAGATTTTTTTGCCTTTTACAAATTGGGAAGAAAAAAAAAAGGAAAGGAAACAAAAAAGAGGAAGTAACTAGCCGTTAGATAAGCAGATTTCAAATGCCTCCAAGCACCGCTTGTTTGCTTTCCAACGTTCACCGAAAAAAAAAAAAATTCTCTTTTTAACATATTCTTTTTCCTTTTTCCTTTTTTCACTTAATGCGACGCCGTTTCTCTCACCCAGACGCCGTTTTATAACCTCAGAGAGAGACCCATCCATCTTCATCCTTTCTCTCACTCATCGGAAGAAGAAGGGACAAAGAAAAAAACGATCTTTCTTTGTTTTCTCCTTCTCTCTCTCTTCTCCTTCTTTCTACTTTCGATCAGTCCCTGAAATTCGATTCTACTCTTAAATCAAATAATCTAGTTGGGTTTTGGGTCTTGACGGTTAATAAAGCGAAAGTGATGGCGGCCGTTAATGGGTACCAGGGAAATACTCCGGCTGATCCTCCGGCGACTAACGGATCAAAGCAACCTGCTCCTCCGACTAAGACTGTTGATAGCCAATCTGTTCTCAAAAGGTATCTTCTTTCTTTTGTTTTCTCTCCATCTTGCTCCAACATAAACGAAATCGCGTTCATGTTTATGGCTCAGATTCGTCTTTCTTCGTTTCATGGGTTTGTATGGTTTGCTAGTAGTTGGTTTGTGATCGATTTACTTATGGATCCACAGAGCAAAGTCGGAGACTTGTCCTATAACTTTTGCTTACAATATACAAGTCGTTTGTTAGAATGTCTCTGAGAAAACTTGAACTCTTGAGATGATAAAGACAATTTGTGTTTCTTGTTTCAATGTGGTTTTCTTCTTATTCATTATGAATCAGATCTTAATACTTCCCTCTACTCTACATTGCATAAAGCTTTGATTTTAATCCAGATTCCTAATCCAGATTCTCTTTACATAAACGCAGGCTGCAATCTGAATTAATGGGCTTGATGGTTAGTTATCATCTTCTCTTTCATACTTGTTGGAAATAAGCAAATCTTGAACCAGTTTTGTAGTTACGAATGCTCATATGGGGCATTGTCTTGGGGTGTTTTTCAGATGGGCGGCGATCCGGGAATATCCGCTTTCCCAGAGGAAGACAACATATTCTGCTGGAAAGGGACAATAACAGGAAGCAAAGACACGGTGTTCGAAGGAACTGAGTACAGACTCTCGCTCTCCTTCTCCAATGACTATCCTTTCAAACCTCCAAAGATCAAGTTCGAGACGTGTTGCTTCCACCCCAATGTTGATGTCTATGGCAATATCTGCTTGGACATTCTTCAGGTAAATAATACCTTCCACTTGTGTAGAAGTACCAAAAGTTTTATCTGTTTTCACATTTTTTTTCTTTTTGGGCAGGATAAATGGTCATCTGCTTACGATGTCAGGACAATATTACTGTCGATTCAGAGCCTTCTCGGAGGTAATCTTATTGTGCTTAACCTTTGATATCTTTTAAGCACTTTGGCTGGTTAATCCAATATCTGACTGTATGTGTGTGTGTTTCTACGTCCTTGCGTTGGTCAGAACCGAACATCAGCTCACCATTGAACACTCAAGCAGCTCAGCTCTGGAGCAACCAAGAAGGTAAAAATAAAAATGCAGATAACGATTTCACATTCATCTTCTAAGTCCATCATCCATTATGACTTTCTTATGACTCTTTTGTTTCCCTGTGCAGAGTATAGGAAGATGGTTGAGAAGCTCTACAAGCCTCCTAGTGCATGATTCTTCAAGATGTTCTGATTCATAAATCTCCAGTGCCTTTGATGATCTCTCACATATAATGATTTTGTAGAAGAAACACATTGATTGTGTCACTCATTTGCTTTATTCTTTGTTTTTCAACATCAGAAGTTTTCTCTGTAACGTTATATTACCTTGAGTTTTGACTTGAGCCAAATAATAATGACATAATGTGATGAGCGAGATTTTCAGAGATTAATCAGAGAGAAGGAGATATATTCTTATTCAGTTAAAAAAATAAACACACTCAAATTCAAAGTACAATCATCATTCTTTTTTATTGTTGAAGTAAGGAGAAGTGATGGTTCATACATTAACATTTTTCAAGCTTTGATTGATCCACCAAAGTTAAGAAAGGCCACGAACTTTTCCAGTGACAGTGTCAATATCAATCTCATAGAAGCAAGGTCTTGTCGGAAGTCCAGGCATTGTACTCATTGTACCAACAAGAGGATAAATGAATCCAGCTCCAATGCTTCCTCTTACATCTCTTATCGGCAACACAAAGCCCGAAGGTGCTCCTTTCTTCGATGCATCGTGCGAGAATGAGTACTGTGTTTTGGACATGCATATGGGAAGACTGGAGAAGCCCTGCTGAGTGTACATCTCAATCTGTTTCTCAGCCTGCATTCACATTACCACAGTAAGAATTATAATAACTCTGCAAGAACAAAATGAAGTCGGTCTAGGTCAATCAATCACCTGGTCTGAGTATTCAACACCACTGGCTCCATAGGACTTGGCAATGGCTTCAATTTTATCTTTGATGCTAATGTCCAGTGGGTATAGAAACCTAAGTGGCTGTGTAATGTTTTGACAAGCTTTTTCAACCGCGATACCAAGATCCACCTACAACAACATTTACAACATAAAATAAGCTGAGATTGCAAACTGCAGACCACAAAGTGTCAAGTTTAGAAGAGAGAAGATTTTACCGCTCCTTTGCCACCATGAGCATGGTGGGAACAAATCACAGCATCAAAAGCACCAGCATCCATCGAAAACTTCCTAACTGCATTTAGTTCTGCTTCGGTATCTGTTGAGAACATATTCACGGCAACAACTACATTCACACCGTACGCCTTTGTGTTTGAAATATGCTTTGCTAGATTCACACATCCAGCTTCAACCAAGGAAACATTCTCGCTTACATACGCACGATCAAGAGGCCTCCCGGCAACAACATCAGGCCCACCACCATGCATTTTCAAGGCCCTAACAGTCGCCACAACAATGGCACACTGAGGCGTTAGCCCGCTGTAACGGCACTTAATGTTCATGAACTTCTCTGTACCAATGTCAGAACCAAAACCCGCTTCTGTTACCACGAATCCACCAGGTCCCACCAGCTTCAAAGCGATCTTATCCGCAACTATAGATGAGTTTCCATGAGCTATGTTTGCAAAAGGACCAGCATGAACTAGGACAGGTGTCCCTTCAAGTGTCTGCATGAGTGTGGGGTTAATAGCGTCTTTCATTAGAACAGTCAAGGCTCCTCCAACACCAAGATCATCCGCTGTTATCGGATCACCGGCCTTGCTGTTACCAATCACCATTTTTCCAAGCCTCTCTCTCATATCACCAAGTGAGGTTGTTAAAGCCAAAACAGCCATAATCTCACTAGCAACAGAAATGTCAAATCCAGTTTCTCTAGTCATCCCTTTTTCCTCAGGTCCCTGACCAACAGTAATCTTCCTCAAGAACCGATCATTAACATCCATCACTCTTCTCCACGTGATAGAAGCAGGATCAATATCAAGCCTAGCAAATTTCTTTATCTCCTCGGGAGTAAGATCCTCAGGACTGGTCTTGGAGATCCCAAGCTTTGTCAACCGCCTAAACATAATGTCGCTGAAACTACGCTTCCCTTCTTTATTCGGAGGGCAAAGCCTATTAAAGAGAGCCTTGTCGGATTGAGACGCCTCATGGAAAATCCGAGTGTCGATTGCAGCAGCTAAGAGATTGTTGGAAGCTGTAATGGCGTGAATATCTCCAGTGAGATGAAGATTGAACTCATCCATGGGAATCACCTGACTATACCCACCACCAGCTGCACCTCCTTTGATTCCAAAGGTCGGTCCTTGTGATGGTTGGCGAAGACAAGTCACAACCTAAGAAACAACACTCAGTAAAATCAGTACAAAGAGAGAGAAGCAATAAGCTAACAAGTGAAAGCAAAGAGAGAGAGAGAGATATATGTGAAACCTTCTTGTCGAGGTAAGCGCCTAAGGCTTGGCAAAGTCCTACAGTGGTAGTTGATTTGCCTTCTCCAAGAGGAGTTGGAGTAATCCCTCCAACAACCACATAGTAACCATCTTCTTGCCCTTGAAGCTCATCAAACGCAGACAACAACACCTGAGATCATCAATTGATTTTATCAGAAAACTGAACCACTAAATCCGAACTTCATGAGAGAAACTTTTGTTTGAGAGTCTATGATCAACAATTTTGTCTACCAACAACAAAAAAGTAACAGAAAATGGCAACAAAAAAGTAATAAAAGAGGTGACTTTGTCTCTCAAACCTCGACTAAAACCAAACAATTATGTTCATCAATCGAATCTCAAACAATCCGGAGAACAACCCAGAGACAGGAAGATTCATGACTAATTCATTTTCAAAGAAAAAAAAAGAAGAAGGGTATATAAAAAGAGAATACCTTTGCTTTGTACTTGCCATAGAGATCGTAGTGAAGTGGGCTGAGATTGAGATCTTTGGCAATCTCGGCGATGTGTAAAGGCTCGACGGAATTAGCGACGTCGATATCGGCGGGAACTGGTGAAACAACCTGAAGCTTTCTTGATGAGCTCATCGCTCTCGCTGCTCTCTAGAGTGATAAAAAAAAAAAGTCTTTCCCTTTTGGTTTTTGGTGTTAAGTTCTGATCTTTCGCTCGAGGATGATGATGAGAATATGAAAGATGACGATGATGTTTATTTTCCTCACCTTTTAATAATTCAAAACAATATAATAATTGAAGGTATAGAAATGACGGTTTCACCCTTATTCTATAAGCGGCTAAGCGCAGCCTCTCTAGCAAGGCCCACCATTGTTGATTTTTCGTAATATACACATAGTTAGGTGATTATGTTTATGTTCATATGTTTTGGAGTCAGGATATTCTGATGAGGTGGCTTGATAACTAGGAATACACTTCATTTTGCATGGTGTCATCTTCATTTGCATCTTTCCATAGCTTGAGGTACGTTGCTTGGTGGACAACATCTAGAATTCTCTGAGTCACAAAAAGAGGAAAAATTATCATTCATATTCCTTCCTACTTGTTTCAGATTGTTCAGACAACTCTTGTTTCCATTAATTGTAGGTTTTGGAAGATGAACATTGGTAGTTCATTTGATGCCCTGGGCGATACATGTTTATAGAGAGACCTTTAGAATATTCAACAAACAACGTTTTGCACTCGTTTTCTTCAACTTTACATAGCTAATTCATATACAAACAAAAGATGTGGAATAGATGGGCTCTTCTTGATGCTCTATAACCTTGAAGCACTTGTAGTTTGTATTTATATCAACGTTAGAAGTCTTATGTGCATATAAGCCCCATCTGCATAATCAAAACTGATGTTGTTGTGTGTAAGCCCATTTTGTTGCAGATTTTACATTTTCGGTTTCTATTGAGAAAAAAATGATCACCCAACGTCGTTTAACATAACTTTTCCATCTCTCGAACCTTGATTAGTTGATTGAAGTTTGAAATGTTTCCTTTTCTAATTTAAATTTTTAAAGAAAATAAATTTGTGTCAATTAATAGTTTACTAGGTGATTATCCGCACGAGTAAATATTAACCATAATTATTTTATTCGAATATATATATATATATATATAATGTATAGAAATACAACTATAAAAATATTAGCTGATAATTATAATTACATATATAAATGATAATTAAAGTTACATTTATTTTGTAATACAGTTATATAAATGCTAGATAATTATTGGTTTTATAATTAATTTTAATAGTATTTTTTTCTATGAATGAAATTGCACATTAAATATATTAAATTAGATTAATACGTTATATCTAACCGGTCTAACATCAGATTAAGATACTTTGCTTATTAATTTTTTATAAATATGTATTATTTTTTCATAAGAAATAGAAAGAGAAAGAATATCTTTACAAATTAAATATTTGAGTATTAAATATAGAATTGATATAAATTAGTCTCTAACCCAATTAAGATTAATGGCATATGATGTAATTAATCTAATAAATTAACTTATTTTTAAAAAATGTCTGAGAAGCTTTCTGAGCTTGACACCTCAGTGATGTGTTGTGTCGTGTGTGTCGAGGGTTGTCAAGTTTTACCCTAAATGAAATCAATAGCCGCAAGTGCACAGCTGATCGATTGTAGTACTTAGGGATCGAATCCACAGGGAAGGAGGATCTTTTCCTACAAAAAGCCTTCGAAATAAGTATAAAGTAAGGAAGTCTAGAACCAAAACGGTTTTGTGGGGGTTTGGTAGTGTGTTTAAAATGTAAAAACGAAATATTAAAAGAGAATACGGGAATTAAATGACGTAATAACTAAACTTAACGATAATGACTAAAAATGTAAAAAAACGGATATCTAATTGCTTAAATGAAAATGAACTAAAAAGAAAAGACAATATTGAACTAAAGCTTGAAAGAAAATCGGTGTAAATCAATGGGAAAGAAGGCGTTGGGGTTCAGGGAAGTTTTTTCAGGGGTACGAACGATTCAAAACATTGCTAGAGAGTAAATTTGATAAGATCTTAGCTTAAACTTTTCGAATTGGAGTCACAGACGTATGAATACGCCACTGTCGTGATCATAGACAACTATCTCTCTCAACCCTGACCAGTAAGTTTCCACTCTGGCCCTGGAAGAGAAGAGATGTATTATGTTTAAAACTCGTCCTAATTCACAAATCGCCCATAGGTAGGTTTCCACTCCTATGTTTGTTTTGCTCTCCCAAACTAGATCTGACACCGGATGAACACTTTCGTGTCACCAAGCATCTGGATCAGATTGTAGTTCATGACGCTACTCTAATGCAGTAAAATCGAATTCAGAAGAAAAAGTTCTAAG